AGTAGTATACATACTCTATAACCAACAAAAGAAAAAAAAAAGAAAAAGAAAAAGAAAGCAACCTCATCCATAGGTAGCATGCTTACCTGGCCTGTTTGTCACTCTGTGGGGTTGACACCCCCTCTTCTGCTGTTTTGGGAGCCATGTGCTCAGTCTTAGCCATATTGAGACTGAGCTGTGACTTCTAAGTGACGACGTCTGGGAGGCAGATGGAGGTGCCAGACTAGAGTTCTGGAGTAGGGAGGAGATTGGAGCTGGAGGTGGGTTTAGAGTACTCTGCACTGGGCAGCTCGATGTTTTTCACTCTGTTTACTGAGTGTGTGTGTCCATGTATTTGACCATTCTTTAAAGTATCCATGGATATGCAATAAGATTCCCATCAGAGGGGGTGAAGAGATGTTTCCTTTCTGGTGATGCACAGGCAGAAAAGTTACCAGAGAAATTTCAGGATTTAATCTCCTGACCCAAGGTTGCCATAATGCCAAAATACATGAAAGACAGGTTTGGGGTGGCATATGGAGAAAGGACAAACTGGAAAGCAGGTGAGCAGTCAAAGCTTACAGCGAAAAAAGAAGTGGAAACAGAGCAGGACCAAATCGTCATCGAGGCAGGCAGTGTCCCGCTACTGCAGCAGCCCACACTTGTTCTTGCTCAGTCATGGCTTTTTCTTGAATTCCCCCGTTTCCCACTCTTGATGGAGACCTTTATGCTTTGTTGCATCTCACCTTGGTGTGGTCAGGGAACAGGAGAGGATCTCTTTGCTTTTTTGGAAGCCTAGGACAGGGAGAAAAGAGAACATTCTCTTCTGCTTGGTGTTGCAGGAATGGGCTGATATGAATCTCAGCTTGGCTGTCGTGGCACCCTACAGCCACTTCCAGGGAAGGGTGTTCCTTACCACCCCAGGGACTAACTGGGCATAGCACACGAGGTTGAGATTCCAAAGCCTAACCTAATTGCAGAGGCTGATGGGTTCCCGGGCACACGGGTGAAGGGTGGAGAGTCAGTGGGCTGCATCAGTGACATTGTGAAACCCATTTACCAAGTAGGGTTCTGCCTGCTAGTGAGCACATGGTGCTATCAGATGAACTTTTCCATTCTGAGCTGTGGGTAGGTCTTTTAGGGGCCCATCCTACCTATACTGTAACCTGAGTTGGTGAGGGGCAGAAGCTCCCCAGATGAGGGTGACTCTGGGATGTGCATTGGAGACAGGGCTGCCAGACAGACAGGTGGGTGGACGGGGCAGAAGGACTTCCTGGGCATAGAGTCATGCAGGCCAGGGAAGACCCACCTAAATTTGGTGAGAGTCTGGTGACCTAAAAGTAGGGCTTCTTGGGGATGTAGCTGGGGAGTGAACAGACAAGGAGTTGTTACACCTCTTTCCTACATTTGCTGGCAGGGATAGGAGATACAGGTTAGGATCTCATTTTGGCAACTTGCTGCTGGTCCTCCATGACTCTAGATGCACAAATGACTTCAATCCTTGACAAGGTGACCAGCTCGTGTTGGCTGCAAGTTCCCTTCAGATGTCAATGTAGATGCCGTTTCTGTGACTTCCTATTTGGTTAGATGTCCCCACCAGTAACCCCCCTACTTATGCTGCCCTTTTTAGTCATGGTTTCTTTATAGCCAGGCCTTTGAAGAGCCATTGTGACCATGATGGGAACAGACAGGGATGACACCAAGAAAGCACTGCGTTGAAGTTGGTTTTGGGCAAATCTTTGGGGGTTTTTTTCTGGAGTAACCCTCTGGAGCTTTCCTTTTTAAAATTTTTCAATTTTTTAAAAATTTTCTTCCTTTCTACCTTTCAGCCCTGATTCTCTAAGTGCATCCTTGCCCAAGCACCCCAGCCCATCTCATCACCTTGACTCTGATGGAATGCCATCTGCGCAGGGGCTGGGTATGGCATTGGTGGGGAGGAGAGAAAGAGGGCCTCCCTTTAATTTCTGAGTCTTCTTCTGTGGTGTTTATTTTCAGGGACCTGACACTTCCAAAAACATACAGACGAGAGCAGCGTATTTAGACGCACGTATGTGTTTTTCCCATTCCTGGCAGAGCCTCTGCCTAGTTCCGCCTTCCCCGAGTGCGCGGCAGTCGCAGGAGGGATGGCGTTTTTAAGCAGGATGAATTGCTGTCAAGTCGCTGCTCTTCTGCACCCGGGGCCATCAATCTTGCCTCGAACGTGGGGCCTGCTGGTCTGCCTGCTCAGGCTCATCTTTCTGGGGCAGACTTCTTTACGGAGCCACAGCAAAGGTAATCTCACTCCCAGCCCCTGCCGCCTGGGCCTCTTTCAGCCACTTTTAAAAATAGCCCAGGACAAAGAGGAAGATCCAGGGTCTGGTTACCTCCTGGGCTTAGGGTCTGATCTTACCTAGCCCTGCCTTGCGTCTGGCAACGCAGGCCTTCTCAGGAGCTGTTGGCCCTGCAGGGGGGGTCAGCCTGTCATTTTCTCTCTGGTTCAGAGTTCCAAGCCAGAAGTAGTTCTCCCTGAGGGCAGTGGGGAAAGGCGTGGGGAGTGAGGCATTCTCAGCTATCCGAGAAGGACATGTCAGCCCGGAAGTAGCATCGTGGCCATTTGAGGAAGAGGACAGGCTGTTCAGAGAGACAAGGGTGGTCTTGGCACAGTTCTGGCATCATGGAGCATACCATGCTCAGAACGATGACTGGGCTCCCTGCTTTGTACCTTTTCTTCCCACAAGTGGCGAAGACCCTTGCCAAGCTCTGGCAGCTAGGGAATGCCCTCTGTCCCCACGTGCCCTGTTCTTTCCTGCTTCCTTAAAATCTGCCTGGCCAAGGGGAGTAAACTCAGCTACAGTTTGGCCTCAGGTCCTAGCTGTAGCAGTAATTCCCTAGATGACCTTGGGGAGGCCTCATCTTCCATTAGGCCATGGTTTTCTTCCTCGTGCAATTAGAGTAGATAATTCCGGCTCCTGTCTTACCTCGAAGGGATGTGGTGGGATTGATTAATCAGATTGGGAAAAGAAGAGTCTGGAGTGATTCTGTCTGAAAATAAGGGCTGCAGCACTGTAATTATGCTTGGATCGGTCAGTGTGCCTCGTTTCTTCTACAAATGTCTGCCTACTTGGGTGCGTAGGGGTGTGTTGGGTGTGTATGTTGGCAAGGGTCTGTGTGCTGGAGGTGAGCTCATGTGTAAATATTGTGTGTGTGAGAATGTGTGTGTATGCATGTGCTTTTTGAGGAGTGACTTACCTCGCAGCTCACTGGTTCTCACCGTCGTCGTGTGTCTGCGTCACAGCCTCCCGCCCTCACCCCCTTGCTCTCTGGGTTGTGAAGGTTCTGGACCCCTGCCTCCTCTACATCCTTGATCTCAGAGTGCCTGAAGCTCCCCAGGGAGATGCCTGAATGGCAGGTACAGATGAGGACAGCGTCCTTTTCAAAGGCCCAGGGCTTTCAGGACTAAGCCTGGCCTCTTTAGCCTCCTTTTTCACTTTCTTCACTGACCCTACCCTAATTCTCTAGCAACTTCTTTGTTTCTTCTTCTTAAGTTTTTAATTTATTTGTCTGTTACTTCCATTAGTGTGTGTGTGTGTGTGTGTGTGTGTGTGTGTGTGTTTGAAAGAGAGAGAGAGAAAGAGAGAGAGAGACTGCATTCCCCAACGGAGTTCCAACACAGAGTTCCATTCGCAGACAGCCCTGGACCATGGACGCCGCCCAGAGTACTCAGAGAGGTCTCTGGACACGAACCCCGAACCTTCCCAGTGGCTCAGCCTTGCAGAATGTTGTGTTTTACCATCACATCATCGGTCAGCCCTTGTACTTCTCAAGGTCCTTCAATCTTGCTGCGTTCTTTATTACCGTCAGAACTGTGCATGTGCTTTTTCCTCCCTGTTTGACTCTTGTCTCTTTCCACCTGTCCCTTCGCAGGTCCCTCTAAGCTTCCTTTAGGAATCAGCCTAAACTTCTCTTGACCCCCTTGACATCCGGCACCCACTGTGAGGCCCACCTCCTTACCCCCCCTCTTTCCCAGCTGTGGCACACTCACACCTTATTATAATCACACGTTTAATTGCTTGTGGCTCCCCCCAGCATGTAAGCACCATAAAGGCACGGCCCTTCCCGTCTTCCGTGCAATATCCTGGCACTAACTGAGGCTTGGCACGTATCTGAACTAACTGAGAGTAAGTGAATGAATGAATGAGCGATGGCCATGTGGGGGTCCAGTGCTCCGGGTCCCCTGTTCATTGTGTGGATATCCAGCATCTGGCTCTGTTATCCATGGGATACCTAGTGGGACAACAGGCTGCTTGATCTGCCCTGGGATTCAACAGGAGACCTTGTCGGGGCACCTGGTCACACTTAAGGCAGAAAGACGACAGCTCTGCTTCCTGGATATGGGCTGCTGGAGAAGAACTCAGGGCTCTTGGGCAGCGTCAGGGAGGGGCGGACTCCCCCAGCGCAGCTGCCGGGCGGGTGGCATCAGCAGCGCTTGCTTCTCTCACATCCGTCCCTCCCCACTCTGGCGGTTTTGAGTCGAACTCAGGCTTCCCTCTCCTTGCCTGGCCCCATCTCCCCGACCAGGTTGGGTCCTGCCCCAGTCGCTAAGGTGGGGGCTGCTCTTCCTAGCTGGCCTCTCGCCATCCTCGGGCTCCCAGGAGAGCTGCCCCTCCCGGCGCTCCCACAGCGGTGGCAGTGGGTTTGCAGGAAGCGGGCTCGCTGCGACTGATGTCTCCACCTGCTGGCCGCCCTGACCCTTGCTGCATGCAGCTTTCCATCGCCGCCGCCGCCACCACCTCCGGTACTGTTGCTGCTGCTGCTGCTGCTGCTGCAATATTTTATAACAAGCGACCCAGAGACCCCGGCTAGGAAGCATGTCTAGGCAGGTGACCCGGCGTGCTGCTCCAGCGAGGATCTACTGCTGTGGATGCTTCGGATAAGTTTCCCCTGAGAAAAAGTCCGAGGGGTGGAGCTCTAACCCTCTGACTGTGTTGCTGTCCCCTAGGGACCCTTCCATGAAGACTGAGGCAGGCATAGCTGCTGAGAAGAGCCTGCTGACATGACATCGGCCACAGAGTTTGAAAACGTGGGCAACCAGCCACCGTACAGCCGGATCAATGCCCGCTGGGATGCCCCGGACGATGAGCTGGATAATGACAACAGCTCAGCCAGGCTCTTTGAGAGGTCCCGGATCAAGGCCTTGGCAGGTACCGTGTGGGGCCACAAGGGCTAGGGAAACATCGTTACAGTCCCGAGGTCTGCACCCCTCCCCACCTGCAGAGACACCCCAATGTGTGTTGGGTGAGCCCTGGCATGGCAGTGACGGAGGCGTGTTTGCCTGGCTCAGAGGCTGAGCCCCCTGGGGAGGGAGCACGGCTCAGGCAGCCTCTGGCCCCAATGCCTCAGAGAGGCAGGGAGGTGCTGGAGCTGCTCCCAGCCGGACTCTGCCCTCTGCCTCGTCCTGAGTGACCTGCAGCCGAAGTCAGAGTAGGACAAAGTCTGTGGAAGAGAGTGTCTGAGAGACTGGGCAGCCGGCAGGTGTGAGGAGCCTCCTCATACACCCTGATCTCCTGGGTCTGAAGGGGGGAGTGTCATTGTCCTCTGTGTGGACGCAGAAAGAGTGATGGGACAGGAAACTGAAGCAGATAGCAGCCTCCCCCATTGCCTAGGAGGGAGGATTGTCTGTACTAACCGTCTCGTGCTTAAACTGGAATTTGATTTTTACTTCGCAGATTCACAATAGCTCTTGTAAGTGTATGTGTGTGAGAGAGAGACAGACAGACGGAGACAGACATTATCTTAAATCTCTGGTAGAAATGGCTTCTCCTCCCCCTACTGGCTGAGATCTGATTCCTGGGATTTCTCTCTTTTCCCACTAACTGCAGTGACTGTTGCCTCCCTGGATCTTGACCCAGGGTAACTGTATTCTGACCCCACGTTCTTGGCCAGTAGAGAAAGTTTGGGGTTGTGGGGTGGATGGTGGCGGAGGGAAGTGTTCCTTCTCCTGGCCCACCGGTCAGCAGCCCCAGCTGGACACGTTTCCCCACCACTGGTGGCTCCT